AAAACGTCAATAATCTACTTTCCCGAAAAGTAGAAAAGATAATCTACTTTTCAGGAAAGTAGATAACCAACTTTCCCGGAAAGTAGATATTTCCCATTTTCTATGATACAAATTTCCCGTTTTCTATGATAATCTACTTTGCAAAATTAGGTAATATTTCCCCAAAAATCGATGATCTACTTCCCCAAAACGTCGATAATCTACTTTCCCGAAAAGTAGAAAAGATAATCTACTTTTCAGGAAAGTAGATAACCAACTTTCCCGGAAAGTAGATATTTCCCATTTTCTATGATACAAATTTCCGTTTTCTATGATAATCTACTTTGCAAAATTCGGTAATATTTCCCCAAAAATCGATGATCTACTTCCCCAAAACGTCGATAATCTACTTTCCCGAAAAGTAGAAAAGATAATCTACTTTTCAGGAAAGTAGATAACCAACTTTCCCGGAAAGCAGATATTTCCCATTTTCTATGATACAAATTTCCCGTTTTCTATGATAATCTACTTTGCAAAATTAGGTAATATTTCCCCAAAAATCGATTATCTACTTCCCCAAAACGTCGATAATCTACTTTCCCGAAAAGTAGAAAAGATAATCTACTTTTCAGGAAAGTAGATAACCAACTTTCCAGGAAAGTAGATATTTCCCATTTTCTATGATACAAATTTCCCGTTTTCTATGATAATCTACTTCGGAAAATTAGTCTAATATTTCCCCAAAAGTCGATAATCTACTTCCCAAAAAGTCGATAATGTGGTAGGGTGGTGGAGCAGGTGGTAGGGTGGTGGTGGAGCAGGTGGTGTGGTGGTGGAGCAGGTGGTGGGGTGGTGGTGGACAGGTGGTGGGGTGGTGGTGGGCAGGTGTTGGATTGGTGGAGACAGGTGGTGGGGTGGTGGGGCAGGGTGGGTGGACAGGTGGTGGGGATGGTAGACAGAGGTGTGGTGGAGCAGGGTGGTGGGGGGTGTGGTGGAGCGGGTGTAGGGATTGGTGGAGCAGGTGCTGGGGTGGTGGTGGAGCAGGTGGTAGGTGGTGGAGGAGGAGGTGGTGGGGTGGTGGTGGGAGCAGGTGGTAGAGTGGTGGTGGAGCAGGTGGTAGGGTGGTGGTGGAGCCGGGGGTAGGGGTGGTGATGGAGCAGGTGGTGGGGTGGTGGAGCAGGTGGTGGGTTGGTGGTGGGGTGGTGGGGATTGGTTGGTGGGGATTGGTTGGGTTGGGGTTGGTGGTGGGCAGGGTGGGGTGGGATTGGAGGTGGGAACAGGTGTGGGTGAGGTGGTGGTGGAGCGCACGTGGTAGAGATGGTGGGAGCAGGTGGTGGGGTGTGGTGGAACTGGGTGGTAGAGTGGTGGAGTGGGTGGTAGGGGTGATGGTGGGGGCATGGTGGGGTGGTGGAGCAGGTTGTAGGATAGTGGAACGGGTGTTGGGATGGTGGAGCAGGTGGTGAGGGTGGTGGAAGCAGGGGGTAGAGATTGGTGGTGGAGCAGGTGGTAGGGTGGTGGAACAGGGAATTGGGGTGGTGGTGGAGCCAGGTGGTGGGGTGGTGGAGCAGAGTGGGGTGGTGGAGCAGGAGATTGGGGTGGTGGAGCAGGTGGTGGGGTGGTGGAGCCAGAGTTGGGGATTGGTGGGCAGAGTTGGGGTGGTTGGACGGGGGTGAGATTGGTGTGGAGCAGGGGTGGGGTGGTGGTGGAGCATGGGAGTGGTGGGCTGGAGCAGGGGTGGGGTGGTGGTGGGCAGGTGGTAGAATGGTGGAGCAGGTGGTGGGGTGGTGGTGGAGCAGGTGGGCCAGGATGTGGAGCAGGTGGTAGGGTGGTGGAGCAGGTGGTAGGGTGGTGGAGCAGGTGGTAGGGTGGTGGAGCAGGTGGTAGGGTGGTGGAGCAGGTGGAGCAGGTGGTAGGATGGTGGAGCAGGTGGTAGGGTGGTGGTGGAGCCGGTGGTAGGATGGTGGAGCAGGTGAGGCAAGTGGGGAGCTGATAAGGACAGCAGCTGGGGTTGAGGAATTAATGGGCAAGGGACAGCTTGGGATGAAAGGAGGGAAGGTTGCTGAACCCGCAGGAGTAGGACATTGCCCCTGGAGGCAGGAAGTGTAGTAGAAACCACAGCTGATATTTCCTGCCTTTATTTAACAAAAACTTTGCTTTGGCAAAGCTAACGTGTTTTGCATGAAACTTGCAGAGAACAGATTCTTCCTCTTATACATGTCCACCACCCATTTTCCGGCACCTTTGGTTCCTGAGCCTTACCGGACCATCCGTTTTGCCGGATTAACAGTGGTCATAAATAATAATTAAGCAATACACCTCTGACCCACTAGCTATACACCTTCCAGTATCTTTAAAGCACCATAGAATCTCACTACTTTTTCTCTTTGCTTCTTTATATCATACACAGTTGATGAACCAATACCATACTAATCACGCAGCTGTAACACCAAAACACCACGGTCAAATTTTCTCAAGAGTTCCACCTTATCTTGTATCGATATGGACAGGTGTTTAGGTTTTACACCACCACTGACACTCGAACTTGCCCTTGAAGCCATAGCTGGGGTTAAATATGTGCAAAATAAGCTGAGAATCACACAAAATCAAGGGGCTACCACTAGCAACTGCAGAGTAAACAAACAAAGTGGCATCTATGGCAGCCCAGTAATTTTGTCCGGATTAAAAGAGGTGCCGGACCTCCATTCCAGGAAAATCGGTGCTGGACCTGTATTGTGAGCATTCTTTATTGACGGGTTTGTGGTCTATTTTACAAATAATACACTAAGGTGTTAAGGAGCACAAACCATGTTCTGGACCAGAACAAGTGCCACAGATCTTGTTTCTCGTACAATTGTTGGTTGAGTGGCCAAAATCATAGCAGTTGCAACATTGCATGGGTTTTTTTGCTTCTATGGATACCCTGCTAGTCTTTCTGCTTTGTTAAACCCCAAGTGAGAGGGTAGGACAGAATCAAAAAATATTAGGATAATCATTGACTTGGCCCTAGTAACTTTATATGCTTTCCATACAATCCTTGCACATACCAAGACTCTCCTCCTTCAAATAATAATAGAGACCGGTGTGGTATACTTTTGAATAACTAAACTTTGTGGTGTGTGAAACTGACAAACAGAAAATACACTTATGCAGTTGTAATAAAGCCATGGTTACCTCCAAATAATTACCAACAAACTCGATAGATAGCAGCAATCATCTAAACGGCTGGAAGTCAATTCTCAGCACAAGGTTATACACACACAATACTGCCCACTTCCTTAAAGGTTTATGTGATATGTCATCTATTGGATAAAATTTGGTTTGATTCTTCCACAGACCCTTGACTGGAGTACAACTAAGTTTATACCATGGGATTTGGGCTCCAAAATTTGGGCTGGAACCCATCTCACCTTTAAACACAGGATGCTATGGAAAATTGGGTCCGACAGAACGAGAATTCACCTAAGGAGCACTTTTTCAGGAATGCATATTGCCTGTTAAGTGGGACCTACTGCACAGCATTTTACTTTTTGTGTACTTCTGAATGTTGAATTTCTAGTCAACAATAATCAGTGTATGTATGGGGTATTAGTAAACTTCAATATTCATTTCCATATAACTTTTAATGTAGTGACCACTGGATGTCACATATACAAAATCTTACAGTCCCATTACTTAAATTATTAATAAAATATGAAATAGAATTAACCCTTGACAATTCATTTGGCTAGAGAGTGAACCATACCACAGATATACATAACCACAAATTCCTTAATGGTGGGGATTTATGGGGAAAACTAGAATAGGGGCTGGAATGCTCAAAATCCTCACCTAAACCCCTATAACCAATTTCAAAACCCCAATAACATGAATACAAAGACACGGTAAAACAACTGAGCATAGTCTATAAACAATAAAGGCCAAATATAATAAATATGAGGACAATGTTAGGCCAGAGTAGGTGACAAGACTGAGTCAGCTGGAGGAACAACAAAACACAGACATGGTTAAATGACTGAACAAAATCCATATGTGATAAAAGATAAACATTTTAAATAATTAGTATAAAGATAATGTAAAATATTAAAACACTATAAACTATTCCTAAGGTTGGAGACAGGGAACAGGGAGCAGAGGTTGGTGAAGGAAGGAACCACAAGACAGATCATCATAACAACAACAATTACCCTAATAATGTCTTTATAGTTACCATTTATCACCTACTGTACTGTAATGTAATGTACTGTACTGTACTGTACTGTACTGTAATGTACTGTACTGTACTGTACTGTACTGTGCTGTACTGTACTGTACTGTACTGTACTGTAATGTACTGTACTGTACTGTACTGTGCTGTACTGTACTGTGCTGTACTGTATTCTGGGGTTCCATCACCAGTGCCTTTAGTCACATCACCTTCCTCTGCCCCCTCATTTCATCCTCCTACGTAATACAGGTTGACAATCCCTAATCTGAAATCCTTGGGACCAGAGGCATTTCGGATTTCGGAATTTTTCGGTTTTCAGAATGGTTAGTTTTTTTTTTGTATTTTTTTTAGCCCATCTGGGCACAAGTCACTGACCCACATTGGGGCCTGGGAGGAATATAATTATAATTATAATTATAATAATAATAATAATAATAATAATAATAATAATAATAATAATAATAATAATAATAATAATAATAATAATAATAATAATAATAATAATACAGGTAATAATAATAATTCATAGGTCTACTGTAGGTCGTGTTACTCACTTTTTATCTTTTCTTCATTCTTGTATTTTTATTATTATTAGTATTATTAGTATTATTATTATTATTATTATTATTTTATTAATACAGTATTATTGTTATCATTATTATTTTATTTTGGTGTATTCTTTAATTAAAATTTTTATTTACTATGAATAATTACAGGTATTATTATTATAATTATTATTATTATTATTATAATTAGTATTACTATTACATTTTCGCCCCCCAGGCCCTGATGTGGGTCAGTGATCTATGCCTGGGTGGGCTAATCCCCGTAAAAAAAAAAAAAAAAATTACTCCACAAAAAACTTTCGGTTTTCAGAGCTTTTCGGATAAAGGGTTGTCAACCTGTAATGTCAACAGCTGTGAACCAAACATTTTCTCATAAGCTCTAACAATATATCCAATATGGATAATGTCACCACAAGTTGCCAAACTTTTTCATAAGAAAAGTGTGTAATTACATAGAAATAGCACATAATATTTGTTGAGCACTTCTCACAGTTCAAACCATGTGATCTAATAGCTGCTGCTGCTGCTTCTTTACACCACCAAAAGCATTTTTTATTCACCTCTGCACTGTTAACTTTGCAGGAAAAATCTGTGAATAGTTGCAATTACTGAAACTGCAAATTTCTAAAGAAATGGGATTAAATTAGAGGCACAGTGCATATACTCTAATGCTACTCCTTCCATCATGAATTATCCAGGACTGACTCTATTACCTATCTAATCAAGTTGACATTATCTGGACTGAGACAGAGATACGATCTAGTACATGTTGAGGCATACAGAACACCGGGTTGATCTGTTTAAGGCCAGTTTCTCCGAGTAATGAGAGACCAGCGAGTCCAAAGAGAGTGTGGTAAAGGTCAACCATATCACCTGGCCGGTCTGTAAACCCACCAGTCTCAGGGTCCTGGTGAAAAAAATTACAATTAATAATGATAAACAGACAATTCCAATTATTTATTGTAGTTTTATTATTTGAGCAAAAGTTGTCATCTTTAGTTGTTTTTTATATAAGTGTATGAGTGTTTGAATACAGTAAAATTTATAACAAATTCTAAAGGGGGTAAAGACATCATTATGAATACCCCTTCAGTAGTCCACACAATCTTAAAAATAATATATCAAATATAAAACTAAAATGAAGTATTGATCCTGAAATCACTTGTTTGTTTTGCTGGAGTGCTCACAAAACTGTCCAACAGAGTACATGCCATCTACGGTACAGGGTATGGCACAAGTCTTTGCATTCTAAACTTCCCTCTTATGGTTTCTCTCCCCCACTTTGTTCTCTAATTTCTAGCTTCCTTGAGAACCGATCCATGGCAGTTGTTGTCGTTCTTTCACCTGCTCTCTTCTTTCTTTTTATTAATGATTTACTTCACACTATGACTATTTCTATCCATTCTTACGCTGATGATTCTACTCTTCACTCTTCTTAACATTTTTCCCTTCCCCCTATTTCTCAAACTAGATCTGTTTCTAGAGCTGATATCATTTCATCTATCAATGTAGATCTGTGCAGCATCTCCGAATGGGAAGGTAGAAACTTGGTTAAATTCAATAGTAATAAAACTCAGCATTTACCAATTACACTTTCCAAATTAGATGATCTCCCACCAATCACATTTCAGGACGCAATCATTCTGCCAAGTTCTAAAATAGATAAGCTCGGCCTCACCATTTCCTCTTATATGTCATGGAAGCCACACATCCACAGCATTGCTAAAGCTGCCTCCCGAAAGCTGGGAATGCTGTACATGCCGTAGCTACTTAACTCTTGAGCAGTTGCTTCAAGTTTATAAGGGATTCATTTGTCCTAACTTGGAGTACCGCTCTCATATCTGGGGTGGCTCTTCTTCTGTCCAACTGTTAGATAGGGTGGAATCAAAGGCATTTCGTCTTATTAACTCTCCTCCTTTAGTTGATAATCTTTCTTCCCTTTCTCTTCGCTGCAATGTTGCTTCACTCTCACTTTTACAGGTACTTTTAACGGGCAATGTTCGGTGGATCTGGCATTCTGTGTACCGCCGGCAAGGCCGTGAGCTCGAAACACTCGTCTTGCCCGCGGTGCCCACAGTTTCTCTGTGGATGTCTGTCACACTAGAATAACCCGTTATAGTACAACCTTCTTTCCTCACACAGCCAAACTGTGGAATGCTCTGCCTTCGTCTGTGTTTCCATACTCATACAATCTGTCTCACTTCAAAAAGCTGGTTTTCCGGCATCTTCGTGGTGTAAATTAATATGATCTTTTTCTTTTCTATTTTTAATTTCTTTTTACTCTTATTTGTTTCACCCCCCAGACCCCATTGTGGGTCAATGACCTGTGCCTGCGTGGGTTATTACCCGTAAAAAAAAATAAAATAAAATAAAATTACAACTACCAGTCGGCAATCTCAATTTTTTTTTGACCTGTGCAATGCATATCTTAATGCCAACATTCCTCTGTGGTAATTGGAAAATAAGTCTGAAGTATTTTTTTAGTGAAATACACCGAGAAGACTACACCAAGTGTGGCTACGTTATGTGGACACCTGTACGACACTTTCTTCTTCTTCCTAAATATTCTTTTGGAAAAGCAGCAAAGTTTCAATGAGAAAATTTGCTATTTTTGCAACAAACTGATTGGTTTACTAGCATTTATTTGACTAAAAGTGTTGTAATATTAGGCATAATATTTATATATTATTTTTGAAGTAAAATAATTAATACCTTTTTCAGTTTTGTTAACTATTTCAGCTGTTTGTCTAGCAAATTTGTCAGCCTGTATTAAGGACTTAAAGTGCCTAAACCTGCAGGCTCTAGTTATGATGCAAATGTGTAACTAGGTGATGAATTAGTCCCAGCCACTAATGGTCTACCTGTGTTCAACCTCAGACACTTAGTGCAATAATACATGAAGGATTGTTAGGTCATTTGAACAAGTATCCAACACAATACAGGTTAATCTTAAATCTTTTCACATTGAGACGGAAATTATACTAAACATACCTGCGTTGCCATGATGAAGAGACGCATTTTACTGGAGTTAATCCAATGAAGTCTTCCAAGCACGGTGAGAGAGGCCAACACCCACCACGAGTAACACACATCTGGCAACTTCTCCGGTCGTCCGTTCAGTCCACCAGATGGCAGTTGACGCTCACACAGCCACCAACCCAGAAGGTCACCATTAATCCTGTGTAACTGACCTTCAACAAGAGCAGAAATTCAGTCCTAGTAAATATCCATTGATTTCTAAGACAAGTACAGAAATAAAGTATTATTTTCTGCTGCTTTAGTGATATTAGAAACATCATATTCCTGGATTGTTTATTCATTACACCAATGGTTTACTGTGTTGGTACACCTTATGGTCCCTTACGGTTCATCACCACCGATTTATGGTCTTTTTCTGTGTTAGTTTGGGTTACTGGTTCCCCAGTTACCATCAGGCAAAATTTAAGCAAGTTGTACAGCTTGATGCCTTTCCTATCTCAAACCCACTTTTACACAGCGGTTACAGTTCAAAATTTTCATTTCATAAGGATCTTTGAGGGAGACCTGAGATACATACCAATACAGTAACAAGCACCTCACAGGAAGAACTCATAAGACTGTGCAGTGCTTGAGTACAATACAGGCTAACCACTGAATTTCTGGCAATCACTGGTCTGGAACCTCTTATGGTCCAGACCAGAGCCGTAGATGGCGTGAGTTCAGTCAACCGGGCAAGTATGAGCAAGTGCATCCCTTTATAAATGTTGTACAGTACAGAACTGCACAGTACAGTACAGTATTGTATTTTTATAAGAACCTTATACAGAGTACTGTAATTGAATTTCCAAGGGATTCAAATGCCACATGGAAACCTCATGGTCCTCTTATGGTGAGAAGTATTACAAATCTTTAAAATACTGTACTGTACTGTACTGTACAGGCAGATCCCAATTTTTCTAAGTTAAGGTTGTTGTAACAGTAATTATAAAAAGAATAACTGCTAAAATTAGCTTCAGAGGGCTGGGACACATCAATGATAAAAAGTGACTTGTTTTGTTTACACCAATGATGTAATAGATGTGTGTACAGTACATTTAGTAACCAATTTAGAGAGTTAAGAAAATGTTATAGTACAGTGATCTTGATTAAACCAGTACACAAAATGTTATGTCAAAGAAAGAGGAATGCTCAGTGCAACTGCCTTATGGGGAGGGTTTGGTGTAAATGGGGTGAAAATGGTCGAGAAAATAAAAACTTGAGACATGGCTTCACTCACAAGGTGCTGCTATATGATGGCAAAGTTTCATTGCTACATTGTTCATATTTATGGATTTATTGGGGGTTTTCCGAGCCCCTCCCCCCACCCCAAAGGGTAACCTGTTGGTGATAGCTGTAAATATGTTTTAACAAATTTAGCCTAAAACAGCCACTCCCTGCTGCTCTCCCTCCCTCCCCAAGAGACACAGTGAGCGTCACAGGTGGAGGGTGTCAAGTGAGCCGCCCTTATTTCCAAACTAACTGTTTCAATAATAACAAATTTATATCTCGGCCACTTTTTTACCTATGTCAGTGAAAAAAAAAACAGATAAAAGATAAGCCAATACTCTACTCTACAAAGTTATACATTTTGATTTTGATTATCATGTAAGGTGTTTTTTTTTGTAGGGGGGGGGGGATTTATTTATTTACTAATTTATTTATTTTTGCAAAAAAATTACTATTTTTTCCTTTCAAATTTCAGATTAAAAAAAAAATTTGATGCATAGTTGTCAAGAACAATCGTTGTTCTCTTCAGAGAAAAAGTTTCATGTTCAACCAATCATTAGTTATGATGGTACAGTATACAGTATTGTACAGTACTGTATTAACTTCAGAAAAAATAATTTTTAAGAAAAAATTTGTGGGGAGTGATGAAAGGGAGGAGGGGTTTAGGGGAGCTTAAATTCATACTTACCGTATATACTCATGTATAGTTTGAGTTTTTAAAACCAAATTTTTAGGCAAAAAATTGGGGGGTCGTCCTATACATGCGTAATAATTTTGTTAGGTTGAACCCGTGCATGATGGGAAGGGCGAGGGGCAACTTTTAGCTTCAGACATGAAAAATAATTACCATTTACTGCCAGTAAACAATGGAAACGTAAAATATGTACCAATTAGTAATGAAAAGTTGTGCAGTTCCTTCAGCAAATGAAGCTCACCAACTTACAATAGGCTAAATTACCTTACAACGTGCTTTCAGCAGCCTATGTTGAAGTTCTTAGCACAGGCTAACTTATCATATCATATACGGTATCACAGTTCTCATTGATCTACAAAAAATACCGGTAATAAAAACCTTTTCGATATTTCACACTTCATAAAATACCCGGTAATCTACTTCAGCCTCCTATTGTTTACAACGACGCATGACGCATCACGCACCACCAGCTGTATCAGCTAGACGGTACACGTGTTTTTCGAATCGTTTTCAGTTAAAAAACTGTTACATCACATGTATATTTTACCTTAACTGTGCCTGAATGAATATATTCTCGGAAAAAAATAGTAGTTTTGCTGAAACGTAATATATTTTAATGTAAAATAGGATAAAATACATGACGAAAACAAAAGATTTTACCTAACCTTCCGATGTTCAAGAGAAGTTACTCGTTTTTTTAATAGTTTTTGGTTAAAATATTGTTATATTACAATGGTATTCTATTCATACTGTGCTTGATATACTACATTCACGGAAATGTAATATTTTTGCTGAAATGACGTACGTATTACAGTGGAAAGTGGGATAAAATCGTGATGAAAACAATGACTTTCGCTTTCTTTCGTTCAAAAGATGTTACCGTAATCGCTTTTCGAATGGTTTTCAGTTAAAAAACTGTTGTATTACGATAATATTCTATCCTAATTGACTTGAATAAATACTACGATACCATATTTCTGAATATTTTCATTAAAATCCTTCAAAATCATATTCCTTGCCATCGTCTGCAGCACCAAACAGCTTCTCCCAGTCCTCTCCTTGAACAGGGCTAGAGGGTACGTGTTTTTCGAATCATTTTCAGTTAAAAAATAATTATTCACACGTATATTTTACCTAAACTGTGCCTGAATGAATATATCCTCGGAAATAAATAGTAGTTTTGCTGAAACGTGATGTATTTCAATGTAAAATAGGATAAAATACATGACGAAAACAAAAGACTTTACCTAAGCTTCTGTTCTTGAGATGTTACTCGTTTTTTTAATAGTTTTCGGTTAAAATTCTGTTATATTACAATGATATTCTATTCATACTGTGCTAGATATAATACATTCACGGAAATGTAATATTTTTGCTGAAATTACGTACGTATTACAGTGGAAAGTGGGATAAAATCGTGACGAAAACAATGACTTTCGCTTTCTTTCGTTCAAAAGATGTTACCGTAATCGCTTTTCGAATGGTTTAGTTAAAAAACTGTTGTATTACAATAATATTCCCTCCTAATTGACTTGAATAAATACTTGAATGGAAATATACAATATTTTTGTTGAAACTACCCGCGTTTCAGTGTAAAGTGTCATAATAATAAATGGTAAACAATTTGCCTTCGGCACTCGTGTTTCAGGCACGGCGAGCCTCAGTTTATAGGACGTAGAGCGTTTTTAGTGAAGGTTTTGTTGTTCCATTACCCTCAAAAATTTGGGTCGAACTATAAACGAGGAATATCGTAAATTAATGATTTCTTGGTCAAAAAATCAGGGTCGACCTATAAACGAGGGGGGGTTATAGACGAGTATATACGGTATGTTGTCCTTTAATAACGACATGAAAATGAAAGTGATTGGCCAAAAAATTTAAATAAATTGTTATAGCCAAATGCTCCCCTCAAATACATGAGATTAAATGATGATAGTTGTTAAAGTAATAAGATGTAAGGACCAACCTGTAATAGAGAGGAGGCCAACACAGCAGTAGATCTGCCCTGCATGACTCTCTGACCCAGGTCTTGTTCCAAACCCACCATCTACATTTTGACACTTCATAACAAACTCAACTGCTTTGTCGGTATTAATGGCATCCAGTCTTTTCTGTAATAACAATATTACAGAAAGTTAAAAATATGAAATTGAAGAATTAATCTTAAAATCCTCTTTCTTAGCTGTGATAGCAAGTCAGATCTTGCAACTGTGGTAGCTAGTTATGGTCAGTCCCTTCTATAATGACTGAAAATAAGTGAAGCAGGAAGAGTTGAAGTAGATGAGGTTCTGTGACGCAGGAAAAACATTTTCTTCCCGGGATTTCCACAGTGAGTTGGTCCAAAGTATTAATGAGTGTTGGTAGGTAATGGTTATAGAAAATGGAATTTCAACAGAAAGTCATGGGTCTTCCCACATGAGCTAGTGGGCATACTGTGGGTGTGTGGTGGTGGCAGCACTACTGGGTGTACCTCAACACAATACTGACTGTTTAAGTACCTGTATCTATAGAAGAGTGAAAGTGATGAGATGAGAATATGTACAGTAATTCAGTTTTATCATAATATTAGTACTTCTTTTTTGTCAGTGTAGCTTATTCTTAACATTCGCCTATAACACCACATTTCAGAGGCCTCCAACCTCTTTCAGGTGTCCATGCATCTGACCCCTACATCAGTCATTCGCATATAAAACCATTTAGCAGGCTCTTTTCAAATTAAAATTAATATCCCTCTTCGTTAGGTCTTTTAGATTATTACAGTAAATGCAGTTTTGCACGAGGATGGTCGCCTGCGGTTTCTGCGCAGGCGACCATCCTCGTGCACTCCCAGGTGCGGTGTTTCCACGATTGGCAACGACCACAGATTTTCGGGGTTCCGATAAATCGGTCGAGAGGACAGTTGTGAATTGGTCCTACATTCACCTTCGGAGGGAGGGGGCCCACCCACCAGCCGATGAGTTCGTTGGATGGACGTTTGGAGACCGGGTTGATGCGGCGTTCCATGTCCAGTAGTTGTGGGAGAAGAGGGCGAAGATCGTCGATAGGGATCTCCCAGGGTACGTGGCGAACCATTACCTTGGTACGACGAGTTTCTGGGGTGATGATGGTGAACTTCAGCATCACCTCCCCCTGGGGAGCAGGAAAGCCCACCTGAGTGAGCAGGCGTACCATCTCGTCCATTTGTGTGGTGACTATCACGGCTGTGGGACCTCGGCGGAGGCGAAGTGTTGAGTCCTGAAGTGGAGAGCAGTGACGGAAGAACCAGGTCGTCCGTGTGCTCAGAGGCAAGTCCCGAGGGAAGGCGAGACGACGAAGGCGCGACGGTGCAGGGAGACAAAGGGAATCCCCTACGTCCATCGTCGGCGGAGGGTCGGTCATTGAGCCACATGTAGGCTCACTTGGGGACCCCGATGACAGGAGGAGTCCACCCTCTACAGCCCCAGAAGGGGTGCAAGGGGGAGCTGTGGCCCCTGCTGGAGACCCTGACTTCTGAGGTTTCTGCTTCTTCTTTGGCGTGTCTTCAAGAAGAAAGTTGTCAGCATCACTGTCACCTACTGCCGCCGTTTCCAACGAACGGGAGCGTTTAACGGCGGGCATAGGGCACGTTGGCAACACTGCAGTCAGGTGGAGTGGTGATGACGTCACTGCTACGTCACACTATCACATTGCGCATGAGCAAACTTGAAAAACTTTGCTCAGAGGGATCGGGAGTAGGACCAGATGTTTTATCCCCCAAAATGACAAAGTCCAAAAGTAACAAAAAAAATATATGCCAGATGCTGACAACTGGGTCTTACTATAGTTGTTTGCACAGGCTGGGATTGGTAGACTCGCTGAATTCGTCAGAAATACAAATTTTAAGGAGCAGTCTCTTACAGCCTTTGTTGACACTACGCACGCATGCGCGTTCCTCCACTAAGCTGTTAAAAAGTTTTTGTAATGCCTCTTCACTATCTGTACTAAGAGTATCATCTGTATAGTGTATATTTAATGATACTTTAACATTAACTTTTATTCCTTCATTATCACTTACAGCTTCTCTTAATAAGAATTGTGAATATATATTATACAATGTTGGAGATAGAACACAGTCTTGTCTTACTCCCTGGCTAACTGTGAACCAATTATTAAGTTCATTATTTACTAACTGCAGCCAATAAAGATTCTTTAAAATTCTAACATCTCCTTAATTAATGCCTATTTTTCCCATTATCTCTATAACTTTATTGTGCTTTACCTTATCAAAGGTTACTACTGTATCATCTGTATGCAAAAATTACAACAGATTTAATGTTAATACCACAGTTAGGGTTATGTTCCTACAGGCTATTTTTATAACATTTTTCCCACTCAATAAGTACTGTACTTCACTTACCTACCTCTTTTGTCATAGTAATAACAAGGACAATCCTGTTATGGCAACTTGCAGCATAAATAGCCACAATAACCAAGTTTTTCCAACAGTGATCTTAAAATAGTCTGAAGATCCCATGTGGTCATGCCCCACCTTTACAATAGCCTTCCACAAACAATTATTTAAGAAAAGGAAGCAGAGCAAATCACAACAAAAGCTCAAATATCAGCGTTTATCCCATACAGTGGTAAGTGTTGTATATATTGTGTCTAACAGAAATTAAACATTGTAAGCCAAGTACAGGCAACATACAGATCATAAGGGGGCTTCAGGCCAGGACATTTAGGGTCATTCATTAAACACAATCTTGAATCAACAGAGACTATTATATGAACAAATAGTTGCTATAATTCACAGGAAGTAACAAACAGATAATATTACTCACAAGTAGAGCCAAGCAAGCAACGGCACAGAAGGAAAATCTGGTGTCCACTTCTCCCCACTGGTCACCGGAGAATGACCCATCCTCATTCTGCAGCCCAACAATGAACTTCACTACACCATCAACATCTGCTTCCTCTATGCTGTCTAATATTACCAATAACTGAAAGAAAATTAAATCATTGTATTTAAGGACTTGCTTAACATGCTGGCAATTAAAGTGTACAGTAATTAGTTGTTAGACTCTTATCCCTCCACAATAAAACAGTACAGTACAGGCAATAATGTTATTTACTTTATGAACAAGAAGACTGGTACAAGATTATGATAGCCCAGAGGATATAATGTACCTGCAATTAATTAGAAAAACCCATAAATTTTAATTCTGAGAAAAAAATATATTTCGGTCAAAAAATTACTAAGGCTTACATTCTCATCGATTTCGGCCCAAAATTGGGTTTTGCTGAAAATATCAGTAAAGGTCCTCCTGAGCATTCTGATTCCAAATCTATGGTCCAGGGTTCGATTGCAAGATAATTAGTGGTCGTATTGATGCTTAGAAGATTTTAATGACTTCTTCAATGCTGTACTGTAATAATTACTCGCCAACTATGTGTTTTGGAGTTGTGATTTTGGAGTTATTCTGGAGATACAGTAGAGCCTCAATCAGGGTGACTATTGACCAGACAAAATAAAATTCCCTGCCTTTTCCAGGTTTTCCAGACTAGTAGACACCCTTTCAATAAATTAACTAATCATGGCAGATCCCGGTCCGAAAAATGCAAAATTCCACAAAAAAATAACTTATTAGAGGCTGGGGTTGGAGATAACACTGCTCATCTTGGCAGTTTAAAGAAAATCAGTTGTTTTTATTATGTTATTACTGCGCATCAACAACTAAGGTCTTTAAGTGCATAACAAAGTTATTAAAACTCTATCACATCAACAATAGAAAATATGAGAATTCTCTGAGTTGAAAATCAGATATAACGTATTTTGCGACATATAAGATTCACGTTTTTGTCTGAAAAATGTCTTAAAAATCAGCCTGTGTCCTAGATGTCTCCCACAGTCTCCCACAAGCTAATGAATCCCCCAGTTGCTGTCTCCGGTAGGCTAAATTCTACCTAACCCAACTCCAGAATTATAAATATGTTATTGCTTACTTAAACACATTATTATTATTTTTAATTAAAAAATAATTATTATAAATATAAAAAGTCGATCTATAACTATTCTGTACTGTACTGATGACGATAACCCGACTGGAGTAACATCCATGAGGCAGACACCCAACTCTTCAGAGGTACCCAAGCAGTAACAATTTCTGAGCTCTTACAAGCATTACAATCTAGTAGTGCCATACCTGCAACATTTATTTTAAATTCTACAAATACCTGAAACAAATGAAGATTTACAGATACAGTGACCCCTCGTTTAACGAACGCCTCGGTTAACGAACTGCCTTCCATAAGGATCTTCAATTCGGTTAACGAACAAAAATTCGGTTTAACGAATTTCTTACGAATCGACCTCAACATGTTTTCGCTTGCACTGACCGGGCAACCAGCTTTAGTATCAGTCCGCCAATACATTAATCGGTTCTAGGGCTTAAATTCCTTACTATTTTAGTAAATATCAAGAAGTTTATACTATTCAATAATTTTAAAGTTTAATATTCAATTTTTAGTCATTTTAACAATTATTGAACATAATTGAAGGTAAAGTGACTAGTTTAATGCGCGGCATCCAGCCTCTTAACACAGCAAACAGGCGTTAGTCTCTCTCTGTTTTCACTGGAGGTAACATCTTGCTTGAGACTCTCTTCAACTAAGCGCTTTTTTTCTGTGTTTCCAAGCAAAATATTGGTCATTTTGAAATTTATTTTACATATTGACAATATATAATGCAGTGCAGTGTTGATTTAAAGAAAATAATCTTGAAATACACCAAGAGAACTAAAATTTTATGGGTGAAATGGTGCCATGGGGTGACTTCTCTTCCACCCCAATGCCTTCTCTTCTTCCTTCTCCTCCTCCACCTCCCACTTCAAATGCACATCATCATCATCATCCAGGAGCCTTCTACATACACACCTCAAAGTAAGTGAATTTTTCTACCATTTTTGTTGAATTTAGGAAATTTTCGGTGAGCTGGAACCAATTACCCAAAAACCCATTGAAACAATGGTTTCGGTTAACGAACTTTTCGGTTAACGAACGACCTTCTGCAACGGATTGAGTTCGTTAACCGAGGGGTCACTGTAACTTTCTTTTCACATTTGCGTCTTAACTCTGTGGCCAGGTTAGACTCGTCTCTGTAACCAGGCTACTGGGCCAAGGTGTTGTTTTTCAACTCGTACCTTCGGGTAGATATACATAACTTTCTTCATTTATTTTTACTGATATACACACACACACCATCCTACATACATACTGTGAAAAAAGTAAATGAAATAATTGTCCTTAGAGCAAACACATAAAAGAAATATACATTTCTTTGCACACGAGTTAGCTGGCTTAGTGTGGGAGCGGGAGGACAACTGGCTGGTTGGTGGTGGGGGGAGCATTGCTAGGGAATTGGCAGAAGCAGCGTCTGCATTGCTATGGTAAACAGGGAGTACAGATGTACAGTATATGCAAATGGCAACTGTGTCGAACTTTCATTTGGCTTTTATTTACTGGTATGGCAGTACCTTATTTATTGCTATTATTTTTATTTATTCCTCACATACAGACTGAGTCTGAGACAGTGAGACATGTGCCACAGAACACCCAGGCACAGACATGTACAATACACAAACCGTCTGGACTGATGCTGGACTTTCCAATCTTTTTTTTTTTAATATGTCTGGTGAATAGAGGGACAGCCCAGAGCACCTCAAAGAGTCCGTAAAAAGTGAATTCTGATATACTGAAGTCTGATTTATCTCTAAATAAATTGATACCCTTAGTTTATTTCTAGATAATCTATCTTTTTCATACCTATAAAACTCTAATAAACTACTACAGTACTGTACTTCCTTTTTCTTCTATCTGTGACCTTCACCTTTCCTCAATATCAGTTCCCACCTTACTTAATGCAAAGTACAGTAATTACACTCTGGTAATCTTCTCAACAACTGTTTCCTTCACTTACTCACAGCACTTATTTTTTCTTCTATCAACAACTCTCTCAGCAATACTGTACATCATCTTCACTTTAGTACAGTGGATTGATTCAACACTTTTGATGCAACACAACATCCTAAATCACTGTACAGTACTCTAGTTTGTCGTCTTTTTAAAGTTTAGTTTAGTCAAATTTCATTTTGAATGGTGTAGCCCCAAAGCTCAATTTAAAAGAAAAAATTAATGGAATACATTATTATTTTTTGAGTGTGTTAAAAGTATGTCATGTCTGTGTATGTCACTTGACGAAGAATTTTCCTCTGAAGTAATGGTGTGAGTATACAGTATTTTAAAGATAAAAATATATAAATAATACAAATACCTGGACAGCACTGAGTGTATACAGAAGATGAGCATCATGGCCGAGACTTGGGGAAAATCCACCACGAGTTTGATCCTGACACTGAAGAACAAATTCAATTATCTGAGAACGATCCATCCTCTCCAGCTGGGAGAGGAGATCCACTGCTGTAATTCCCCAGTACATGCCGGACATGCGAAAGTGTTCGGTCATTGTGAACTCCTGGTTATGGAAAAATGGTAATGAGATGTAAAAACTATCAATGGCATGTACTATGTAAGAAAAAGATCATTTAATCTATCAAGGAGAGTCTTCTGAAAAGATTATTTACACTGCATCTACATATCCACATTTCATTAGTACTGTATAAGATTCCTGCAACTGTAATCTCCCAAGGAGCAGATTAATAAGTTTTATTGATACAAAGGCTCTTACAATTCATATATGAAACTACTGTACCTGTACTCAAAATGAAAATGAGGGATTGATCCTGAAATTGAATTTCATAAACAAGACTGGAAATATACTCATTAGAAATTAAAGATTTGAAACCCATGATGGATCTTAACTCAAACAACGGGGACCTATCTTTCACAACAGCCCCTATTAAGGGATCTGAGAAACTGAGTCTGCCAATTAGGACTGGGGCCTAAAGAGTTGTAGGATCACAATGTGTTTGCACAAACCATTCTCTAGCTGTTGATGAGCTTGACAACTGAGAAGGAAGCAGAACCAACCTCACAACAACCAACCTCTGAGGAAGACCCACACACAAATTATAAATGTTAACCTAACTAATGATAACTAGGTTAGAAAACAGTACCGTACCATGATAGAAAACCCATACCCTACATATAACTTGTTAAAATGACAACAAGATCAGTTGGGCACATCTTTACCTATCCACTGACTTAAGAGTTGGAGAAGAATACTGAATAGATCTGCATAAAACTGAAAAGGCAGAAGAAATAATATCTTAAAGAAAAAAATATATATAATTGTAGCAATCCCTTCACACTGTTGCAGCTCTGAACAAACTTGAAGCATAAATAAAAAATTCCCAACAAAAGAATCCAACATCCATTCAAATGGCATCATGGTACAGTATTCCTTGACACTGAGTATTGCAGCAGTATACTGTACAAACCCATAATGAAATGCCGTAATGTTGTCAAGTTTCCCACATAACTAATGGCTTTCTTGATTTTCTGCACTTGAAACTTTGTCATACAGTATTCAAATCTGGTTGAACCCCTCCTATGCAAAATGTGTTGCTATGCCTATGACTCATAAGCCACACTTTAGCCTATTCCTAAAGTGACTTCCAAATGAAAAAAACACATTTTAATAAACATATTTCAATAATAAAAATACTTACATAATCCTCCTTCTTCTTGCTGTAGCCAACAATGTAGTCAGCATGTTTTTGGAGCAGGAGTGTTTTGGGATGTTCATCAGTTATCACCACATCTTTGGGATGACTTGCCTAGAAAGAAATTAAAACAGCAAAATAAACAAATAAATAAATATATAGTAATATCTCTGTTAGCTGAAATCCCTCAAATCCAGAACTCTCTGATAGCCGGAATTGAAATTTTCTCGTAAAATCATTCCCAAAGCCAGAATTTTCCTTTGGGAACGATTTTCCTAGGGCACATTTTGTGGAAAATTCTGAGAAGATTTTCCCAATACCCGGAAAATTCCAGGGAAGGGGGAGTTTTTTTCTGGGTCTGAGAGATGATGTAAATGCACAATTTCTAGAACTTCCAATAAAGAACATTTTTCCGTTACCCGGAAAATTCCGGAGAGACGAAATAATGCATTAAATCATCTCTTGAAGTTTGTCGAACTGAGTGAAAAGATAATTAAAAACATGGAGGATTGAAGCACAAAATCTTATCTTATGGCCTGGGGATTGACATATTCTAGTCTCAGCAGTCTACACTGTTGGACCAAACCAATGTACAGTACTGTAAGTTACTACTAGGCAGCTCCTCCCTCAGTGAACCAGCATCACAGCAATGATTCAAACTCCTAGCCTGGTGTTTACTTTGAGAGCCAGTCAGGCTTGAGGAATATCACTAGCTGTAACAACAGAGGAAATGATTGTAAAGATCCTGTAGGGAATTATGAAACGTAGGAGAGAATGATCATGAGTTGAAGGTAAATAACTTCACCCAACTATTCCAGTCAGAAATACTATAGTAAATTTGGAGGGAGCCAGTTGTAAGACAGTACTGTATAGCTACATTTACTGTAGCACAGAGTCAGGAAGATCTAAAGAGAAAACACACCTGTAAACTTTGGAATTGAAAATCACCTTTGGTTTAGACGTAGTGTACAGTGGTAAACAGACACATTGATCAGACATTAGGGAGAGAAAAGCAATTAAAACTTTTGGTTAAATATTTGTCCTAATAAATCCACAACTGTAAGAGCTGCACTGATAAACATTTTTAGGTGTTATGGCCGTAGGGCACAAAGAAGGACGTAAAGGTAAAATAATGGAATAACATAACCCAGGCAACAGTGTTACCTGCTACATCAATGAGTACAATTATTTGGCCACCATACAGCTGCTGCTACAGACATTTAAAAGGAACATCAAAGGGGTAAAGTATTAATACATAAATGTTTTACGATATAAACTTTCCCAAGGCCGATTTGTGCTTCAGTCTTCTCTACTGTTGCCACAACATGTTGGATTGGGAAGAGAAATTCTCCAGCTCCAAGGGTTTACTGGAATGCAGGAATTTAAACAATATGAGGTACATACAATACAGAACTGTAGCATCATTTAGATACAAATACTATATAGAAACATAGAATATCCATTAGGCTGTGATGGTTGGTTTTACCTGAACACAGAGTACAGTTCAGTAACTATGAGGCTAGTTTCTCAATTGAGGAAATTAAAAATGAAGAAAATTATTTAGCAGAGCCCAAGCAAATGAAAATGTTGGTTGGAGTTATTGGTGGAAGCAGAACTTGTTGCATCCAGGATATATGAGGAGAGGAAGTATCATTCTCTTGTCTAACAATTTTGAGCACAATAAGCATTTAACGAATCTCATAGGGATCTGGAATGTAGTAGTACTGTACTGTAGTGTACAAGTGGTGACAATATTGAAAGCGTCTGTACACCCCGTAGATAATTACTGTACTGTATTTGAGTGCAGAAGAGAAAACAACAACAGATAGACTTAAACAATTTATGGGACCTCAAATACACAGGCAGCCAGGAAAACCATGTCCCTGGAGGTGAAGTTTGACATTGTGAAGCGGCAGCAGACTCCCCAAAGGCTGTGTGGGCGACGGAGTGATGTCTCCATTCCACCTTCGAGAGTCCCCTTAGCCTTGAAGGGGACATGTAATGATGACCAGGATTGTTCTTATTGACGTGGTGAATGCTGTTAAATTATGTTGTAGGTATACGTAACGTAACGTAACGTAACGTAACCTAACCTAACCTAACCTAACCTAACCTAACCTAACCTAACCTTAACCTGCTAATATTGATGACTATAACACAAACATCAAAACAAATACAGACACTCCAGTTTATGTAAAGGTTCCATTCCTGGACCATATCTGTAAGCTGAATTACCTGTAAACTAAAAAAATGATCATTCCATAAGGTAAACTTGTACTGTTCACTATAATAAATCACAGATAACATCACACAGGGGTAGATATACATAATCCTCCACAAAGTTACCTTCTGAAATAACAGAAACTCTTACACAACCTGAATTTTGTTATAATAGAACTTATGGGAGGAATTCTGTACCTAAGTGTGTCTGTAATGGTGGTATAGTAGTCAATATTAACCTCTTTTTAATTAATTACAAGCTAAAGAACATCTCCATTATCACCTTCATTTCTACTGCTAACTTAACAATGATGACATACAGTACAGTGCTTTACCATTGTTAATAAGTGGTGTAGGATGGTGTGGGTTATAGTGTTGTTTACAGTGGTGGTGGACAGCTGACTCACAACAGCTGACTCACGACAGCTGACTCACTCATAACCAAGGAATATACAGAGAGGAAGGGGCCAGGGAATTAATAATACTAAATTAATTATTTTCCTTAGTTCTTAGTTGTTTGTGAGGGAAACATCATAGAGGAAAAGTGTCTTAGAATTGTTTGAACTATTGATTGAAAAGATAATAATAATAATATAGTTAATTTAGGAAAGTGTTATATGAAAGAAATTAACTTACAGATATTTTGGTTACTTTATAGTATAGTATCACACCGGTCTTTATTTAGTTATTAAAATTAGATTTTTCCTGTGTTTTTTGATGAGTTTTGAAGGAATTTGATATTAATTTCCACCATAAATCACGGGTTTTTTAGATACCCCCCCACCCCCACCCACCACTAAACATTGAGCTTAAGTGATAATCCTTAAAAATTAATATCTCAGTTATTTGTGGTGGAAATGTCATAGAAGAAAAGTGTCTTAGAATTGTGGTAAACATGATGAGTACCAGTGTGATACTATAAATTCACCTTAATTTTAATAACAAAAAGTTAGGTTAGGGAAGGAAGATTAGGTTTGATAGGTTGGTTTATTTAGATTAGGTTTGATTAAGTTAGATTAGGATAAGTTAGGTTTGGTGGTACAGTGAAATGCGCTTAATTTTCACCAATAGGTCAAGGGTTCGAACCTCAGCCCATACAGTTAGTAAACTCATAAGTCAAATTTGGTTAAGTTAGGTTACATTAGATTAGGGTAAGTTATTATTAGGTTAAGGTGTTAGATTCCACTCCTGTTTCACAAGTGATGTTTCTATTCCCTTATACCCATTTTTAGACAGACTTGACCAACACTGTTACAGGTTCAGATATATTCAGGAGCCAGTACATACCCAGTACTTGCTAACAGTGTGTAACAGACGTGATGGACCGCCCAAGGGGCTTACGAGCCATGAAGATGATAAAGTAAAAGTAAACTAAAAGTACAAAACTCAAACAGACAGTTGAACAACACAAGCAAACTATTCTGGTCCACCTTTAATGTCATTCATCCTGTTTGATAGCTCAGTAATCTCAGCCTCCCAGAAGGCCAATCTACTTTCTAGAAGTTTTACCTCTTTAACTCTGCAGGAATGTGAGTGGCTGATTCATCATCTGGATCTGAAGTTGCAAATAGCAGACTGCAATATGTTGCTAACTTTAAGTATGCTGTATGTGCAGGTGACCTCAACAAGGCTGAAGAAATTCAACATTGGGATATATTCCTGGACTGTGTTGATGCGTTCTGCTATCTGGGTGACATGATCGGTGCTGGTGGTGGTGCTGCAGCTTTATCAATTGCAAGAGTCAGAAGTTTGAGTTGTTGCCTTTATTGATGGCAAGAATACCTTCTCTTCGTGCGGGAGGAAAAACGTAGGCAACTGGCATGAAAAATATGATGTATGGCAGTGAAACATGGGCACTTGAAGAGGATATCCAATGTAGGCTTGAGCGAGTTAAAACAAGAATGGTGAGATGGATGTGTAGTTTGTGACACCGTTAGATACGAAACTTTGTTCAGGGTTACCGTGGTACCCTGTTATATGCCTTCTCTAAGTCTACACATACACAGTAGCTACAATTTTTTCTCCTTTCCTAAACATTTGTTCGGTAATAGCCTGGCCATAAATATTGTCGTCCCCCTACCTGGCATAAAACCAAACTGCATTCTGTGCATGTCACCTCTCTCTCTCTCTCTCTCTCTCTCAAGAATTTCCCAATCACTATTTCTACATCTTTCATAACCTGACCTAGCAGCTTCAGGCCCCTATAGTTCTTGCCTTTGTAACTGAACTGGGATAAAGACAAGATGGCTGATTCAACCTTGGATTTTCCCCAGAATGCATTTTGGTAAGCAAATGATGACTTAGTTGTGGGATAGGAGTATTAAATATTAAGGGTATCATCACACAGCATTGAGATTTTAGGCATTACCCTTATTGTAAGTCTTACTAAATCTTACCATGACAATTTTTTTAAGAAATTTTGCCAAAACTGCTACTATGAAACTTGGGGTTCATACAGTCCCTGATGAACAGTTGGCTTCTACAGTATTTATGTAAGGCACATGCACTCGGATGGAGAACTGCCATCATCTGTTGGCTGGGTGTGATTCTAGGGCAATTTGCCTAGCGCAGAAAGAGGCCTTCAATAATGATCTTACCAGACAGGGTAACACATGGCATTGTGATAGTATTTATTTTCATTAGAATAACTTACTATTAAGGTAAAATGAGAACACAATGTTTGATTTATTTATTGAGCATTTATTATGACAACTGAAGATGCAATACAGGGCTTCAATGAAAAAGCAAACAACAAATACATAATTATATTAATACCCGGTGACAAACGACTAGATATTTTATGGCACAAGTCCCTCACTATTGACATCTGCAACAGGACATAAGTTTCAGTCTCTATTTCTATTTCATTAGTTAAAACATTTGGAAGATGCTCATAAGCTTAATGTATATATTGGAGCAAACAACAGATGCACAACACAACAAGACAAGACAAAGATAATTTAGAGCCAAAACATCCAGTCTACAAGTCTTAAGATATAAGTTTACCTGCAAACCTTCATAGCAACTCTTCTAATCTTCTTTGTTTATCTATCATTTGAAGGCATTGGAAGAATGCTTGAGCACCTCTGCATCAGTTTCCCCACACACCATGACCCACATTGAAGGCTTACAGAAGTTTCTCTAAATCTTTTTCAATTGTTGGCTGTTGAAGAAACAGTATACCATATTAGGATACAATTAATACATTCTTTAATCCACAATTATTAACCTAAAGAAATAATTCAATAAACAGTATTAACATGACTCAAGTTGTTGGAAGATGATAAAAGGTGTCTAAGGGTGAACTTTTCATCTTGTGTTTTCTATCAGAGAAGTTATTAGATGTTACTGGCAGAACATTTACACAACATGTGCTGAGTGTAACATGTTGTATGAATGTATTATGTCTTGATGCACAATGTTGTATTACTGTAGTATGTTGTCCTAATGCAAACATCTCAAGATCATTTACCCAAGAGCAAATACTGTCTGAAAGTACCATAGAATTACTCTGCAAAAATAAAATTAGGAAAACTAATTAAAATAAAATAAATGTACTTACAATTGGGTTAGTTTGTGGAGAATAGCGAGACACTGGTATTCCTTCCTTGTCAATTAAAAATTTGGTGAAGTTCCATTTGATAAAGTTGCCAAGAATTCCTCCTTGCTTAGACTTGAGGAAATTCCACAGAGGATGGGCATCATTCCCATTCACTTTAACTTTGGAGAACATGTCAAACTTTACTCCATAGCTTTCAGCAAACTTCTTAATTTCTTCCTCTGTACCAGGTTCCTACACATGAAAAAGGTTATACAAATTCTAAAATGCATCAATAAAAAATACAATGTAAAGTTCTGACTTTCTTTTCGCTTTAAAAACAGTACTGGTAATTAAAATTGTGAGTATGATCATGAAATCTTGGTTTAATCTAATATAACTTAAAAGAAAGAGTAGACTTCCTCACAAGCAACCCAAGCCTTTAAAAATACACAAAAGGTCCTGCAGGATGACATAAGCAACTCATACATAAGTCTGTCTAAGTACACTCATAAATATTACAGCCTGCTAAGATAAAATAGAGGAGGTGAATAGACTGTTCCAAGTACTGTGCAGCTAGGCACCCCCTAAGGAAATACACACCATATTATTTCCCTAAAGCAGCCTAGGTGTTGCAGAAAGGGACCAAGAGCTCAATAATGCTGAAACCACAAAAATGAGGTTGTCCATAAACCCAACAGCAATAAAACATTGCCGGGGCTTCATAGACAGGAAATTTCACATGTAAAATGTTACCCCCACAAAAAGCTAACAGAACTGTGGGTAAAGAGATGAAACTAAGCAACTTCTGACACAAAGACAAGGAAAGACTGTGGGAGTACCTAAAGGAGAGAAAACCAAATTCTACTGGGCAAAATAGTAGTTATCAGAGTAGCAATGCCTTACTTTGATGGTTATGACTGTAATAAAGAAACAAGAGGAGAAAATATATAAGCCTTATTACAGTAATTCCAATTCAGTTGAAGAATATCAGTTTTAAGACAATGAATTACTATCCAATGTTCATTCTGATTGAATTGCCTTGTTCCTTGAGTCAGCATCTGAGGTGTCCAGCAATATGCATCACTAAATTACAACAAGGAGTTCAGATGTTAGGGGAAGCATACCCCATGAAATTACTTATAAGGAAGGGAACCTGGAAAAACACGGCTTCTTAATACATACCACTGTAGAAAATTGATCAAAATTAAAATGTTCATCTTGAAGCTTCCTTTCTCATATGATTAAGAGAGTAAAAGAAACTATGAGGTCCTAACATACATGTAGAAACCTTCATAAACAAAGACCAAACTCTACTATCCTCATAATTATCCCAGGAATGAACAATTATCCCTGACTGGAAGCAGCCATCCTCACCAGCAGTACAGCTAGGGGAGGAAACCAAGGAACAGAGAAATATGTCTCTTGTCTAACCGTCAGAGGAATGGCTACATAAGTTTACAATGAAAATGGATTCATTTTCAAAAACTCCTTGCCTGAAATTGAGTCTTTCCAGACCCATGCCCTGGGCAGTGAATACAGTACTGTACTAAGTTGCCTACTACCCTTTCACACTACCTGTAAGACTCTTATCTTTAAGACACAAGGACACAGGCTTGCTTAGGAGGCTGGTTGATCTTCCTTAGTACAGTATAAGACCAAGTAACTCCTTTCCTGGTGTTCCACTGGAGACCCAATGAGGAGAGAGAGTAAGATAAAACCTTGATTTCTTCCTTTCACTCATAAAACATCAGATGTTTTATGAACTTTAATTTTTCTCCCAAAACAAACTGTTGTCTAGCTTGGCTTGGATACCTACTTCTGAAAACATGTGTAAAATGATATTATGTTGTACAGGAGTGATGTTGGTACAGTATAGGTGAAAAGATATTTATAACAATTCATGTTCACATTTACATAACATAGTGACAAGGAGTCTCACCTGGCTTCCAAACTGGTTGCAAGGGAAGCCAAGGATACACAGTCCTTTGGCTTCATATTTCTCGTGAAGCTGCACCAGTTCGGTGTAGTTCACGGCAGTTTTACCTCACTTACTCGCCACATTCACCACAATGCAGACGTGGCCCCTAGAAAGAAAAAGATATTAATGAAATGAACTTTGTTTATAAATATAAGGTCTTTCTTTTGTTATAAAAGTGAATATCCATCCATGGTCTTCACTGTCACACACACATTATTAATTTCTTATCCACAAGCTAAACCATATTCTGAAATACACTTTCACAGAGCATTTCCATAAATATTGGCCTCTAAAGTATATTTTCACTCCACATAAAGTTTTAAAGATAACTTCTCCCACACCCCATCATCTGCTGCAACATCAAGTGCTTCCATGTTAGTTAATTTCCCTCTGCTGTATCTGATTTGACTACTGTATTAACAAATGTATTTAAGAAAATACCAAAGTTCAAAATAAAAAATCTATTTCTAGTTTAATATTCAACAAATAAGTCTCTTAAGGGCATAGTGTGACCATCCAGTTCAACACACTAAAAAGTTTGACCTCAAATCGTAAGCTTTTTGTCCTTAGGGTCGCTGTTTAGATCCCAGTACATACCCAGCTGTAAAAGGGTCCGTAACAAGTCAGGGCAGTAAATGTGGTTGAGTGCAGTACCGGCCTTCTTGTGTACCAAAGGCAGGAAGAAAATATTGTTATCTTAATAGGGTTGTTCAGTGATGCATACAGCAATTGAATTTAATGGTCATTTTCAATGCCAGTTCAAGATGACCCTACAGCCTGTATGTAATCATGGCAAGAGAATGCCAGCAAATATCTTCACCTTTCCCCACAGCCATCTGTCTATAACCATAGAACTTAAGGATGACTTGGGATTAGATGAAGGATTTAACAAATATTATGAGTGTTGAAACATGATGACTTCAACACCAAATCTCTGGGATAAAACCCCAGACTCCAGGATACTGATTTGTGACAGGTATCTATACTATACAGTGAAAAAATTTAAATTATATTATCCTTTACCTTCATACTGAGCTCCTAACCCAACCTATACTGCACTGTATACCAATTTACCACTCCTTTCACATCATCATCTTGAAATTACATCATTAATGTGTGAGAAGAAAGTTCCCCTCAGAGAAATACCGGTAACCCTCAGGAAGAAAGACCTAAATAATCATTCTTAGTGTCACACTACAAATAAAGTCACTTCAAACTCTGACAACATGTAAATCCAAAATTTTGACGTATTCAACCAAAAATCCTCCTCTACTGAGAATATTGTACAATACTATACTGATGCACTACCTCTGTGAGCTGCATCACTTCACTCTGTCCTACACACAACACCTGGGATATATATATATCACAAGCAATTTGAGGAGGTAATCCAGAACAAAATGGATGAAACATAACTTCCTAAATTTACAGATACACAATGTATGAAACTAAACAAACTGGTAAATGTAACCGCTGTGTAACCAGTCAAGACAAATGCTAATATTTTTTACCAACAGTATTTACACAAATTTTCACTCCCAAAAGATACTACACTACAGTACAGTACTTTATATATGTTTGATGCAACTTACCTATATTTCTCCATTGCCACGTCATTACCATCAATGTCAGGAGCACTGAAGTCATAAAATGATGAGCCCCCTGATGCCTAGTAGAGGGTAAAATAGAAAAACAAGAATAAAATATGAAATCCCACTTCACGTCCATAAGAGCAAAAAAATTACCTGAGATTTACCAGCACCAAGCAACCTGTGGCAAGGAGCCTACTTAGTTATTAACAGGATGCATCATCCATGTGAATAATGTTTGTTGCTGTCAGCAGCCTCCCTCTCATCCATTCAAATTAGGATGCTAATCCTTGACTACACAGTTGTGCCAAGAACTGCATACAGATAATTTAGGCTGGAGTTTAAACTTTCAACAAAGTTATGTACTGTATCTTAAACTACCATGACTGTACTGTACTGTACTGTTCAGTTTCATACTTCAACTTAGTCACTTTCTATTGATATATAACTATCAAGAAACGAAACACAAGTGTCTTATAATTATGACCTTGTCTGTGTGGGCAGCAAAGTATAAACATTGTCCACTGCCTGCACCACACAACTACAGATAAATTACTTTATCAACAAATTTATCTACCAATTATTGATAGTAGCAATACTGTACCACAATAATAGTGGCAGAAAACTAAATTAAAATGAATACATATAACACCAAAATAAGAATGTAAAACATAAATTAATGTCAGTCATTGTGTGTGTGTGTGTGTGTGTGTGTGTGTGTGTGTGTGTGTGTGTGTGTGTGGCAAGAAGCAACAGGCTAAAAATAGTCAATAGCTGACTAATGATACAAGCAACAGTCAGACACCACAGTCCTGCAGTACATATTGACCAATATGTTTGTATTCATTAGCTTCATCCATCACAATACATACACAGTAGTGTAAGTATCTTATATACTGTAAAGACAATAAAAAATTTCATAAAACTTGATAATCTGAATTTTATAGGTAACCATAAATTGTTCCATGGTGGACTGAGAGTTAAAAAGGTCAACTTGTTCCTGACAGCATGACCTGGGTACCTTCAGTAAGAGCTACACAGCCAACCAACCATCACCTTCAGCATATAAACAGGATGATTGGATGTGAGGGGGTGAACACTGTACTGAAGATCCTACAAACAGCTACAATGAAATATTATTTACCGAATATTAAGCCTGACTTTAACTGATAGAAGAACCTGTGTACTGTACTTGTAGTAGTACTGTAAAAGGTTGTGCTACTTGTGCACAGTCATAACCCTTTAGCTGTACAAAGACCAATATGTTATAGAGGCTGTAACAGGTCAGCAGGTTGCTTAGATTTTGGCATGAATTTTCACAAAAATTGATTCCTCAAATGACTGCATTTAAAGACTGTCCCATAGTAGGTCCTGGTCTCCTAGTGCCTCAGCACACAGTTATCATAGAGGAAGAAAGTCTGTCCCCAAGTGACCAGGAACCACACACTCCATGTGGTACAAGAGCTTTTCATCACAGCTAAACCAAACTAAATAAATTATTTATTTTGTATTTTGTTTCTCATTAGCCTTCTGTACATGCATATCTTTATTTATGTTACATGAAAATATTTTTTTGTTTTTTTTTTAGAACTTTAATTCTTCACGATAATTGCACACGTGGTGCACGACAAACTTACGACAAGTCACAGCCAAAGAAGTGTTTGCCAGCCCCACATAACTAATCATCCACTCTGATTATATACAACAAAACAATTTATTCTTGCACTTGGACCACAGAGGGGCAGGGGCCAACATATATAAGTAATAAAATAACTGGGTTATCTAAACTCTAATATATCCTAAACAGTCAGTGTGTTCTATGAAGTCTTATCTGAGACCTGTCGGTACACATCGTGGCAGAATGTAAAGAAAATCAAAGTTGAAACATCCTTTCATGACAAAGAGTAAAACATAATGAATGAATCTTTGGATATCAAGCCAGTAAGAGAAGCCTCTCTGGTCCTGGGGTAACCATCACATCATGTCAGATAAAAACAATGGCACATTATTAAACTACAATTTAACTGAATAAGGAGTTGCTTGTATCACCAACACTGTCTACATGGATAATGTGTCCAGCTATTAAACATATCAAAGCCCATTAGCAAATGCAGAATTTGTCATTGGGTGTTACTAGAATTATACTGTACAGTATGGCTCTCTCAGGCCAACTCACTTATAATTCATATCATAAACCATATACAAACTGAACAGTACAGTACATTATTATACACAATATTTAAATTATAAGTTAACTTCTGGTGAAGTTTAGTTATAGAGTACAGTGGAGTCGTGATAATTCACAATTTTCTAATTCACAGGTACAGTACGGTACAGTACAGTACGGTACAGTACAGTACAGTACAGTACAGTACAGTACAGTACGGTACGGTACGGTACGGTACAGTACAGTACAATACCTTAATTACTCCTTTTTTTCTTTTTTTATAATTTAACAGCATTTGAACCTCAGGATCAGCACACTTGGTGAACAAGTTCCCATCCGGCCTAGAGAACTGTGTTGCAGGGTTTCCATTTGGAATTTTCCATGACGGTACTGTATTAAATTCAAGGATATTTAGTAATGAAAAACCAGTTTGGTAATAAAATACATGGTTCGGTAACGACGATACTGGATACAGTACAGCATCACGGACAAAATGTTTGATAAATTCTCTGCTGAACTATGATCATACATCAGTGAGGAAAGAGGAGAGAAGGCCAGAGGTGATACCTTGGCTGCCCTGTACAACTATACAATACAGTACTCCCAGCGATTCTGTGTCAACAGATATATTACATGCAAGTCATATCACGTTGCTTTTTTTTTTTACGGGGATCAGCCCACCCGGGCACAGGTCACGTAGGTTAAACCATCATTTATTTTTCCTTTATTGACTTCATTTTATGAACTTGAAACAAAAAATATAAGTACAGTAATGAAACTCTTGGTCTGGTAATGATGAAGATGGATTTGGTACTGGCTGCAAAATCAGAATTGGCGACCATGCCTCAGCCTCTCACTGGTTTAGTGTTCATTACAATAGTTTTGGAACAGTTTATGTGTATTTTTGGCCTCCAGAACCAAATGAATTATTTCCATTTAAATTAATTTAGATAAAATTCACGATGTCTTCTGGTATGTAACCCATAAATTATCGTGACTCCTCTGTGCTAAACAGATCAACTCTTTGGTAGAAATTTGTAATTTTTGACACAAGAACCAGAAACACAACAATTAACCTTATTCAAAATACTGTATAAGTTAATATGAAAAGGAACTTATGTCTTAAAGATCATTTTCTTTTTGTAATAATATTGTATTTACATGTGTACTGTATATACTCCAGTGATTATTTAGTTTGTGGTGAAGTAGAGTACAGTCATGGGCGTCCGCAGGGAGGGGCAAGGGGGGGCATTTGCCCCCTCCTGGAAAATCAAAAATTTGAAAAAATTACACGGAAAATACAAAATGAATAAAATAACAAACATTTCTCAACAGTCCATTCAGTTAGAGCAGGTTACTACTCTTGGAACAGGAATTGGAGCCGTCGGGGATCTCTTCCGAAATTGTCAATGATGTCTTCACACTTCACACGTCGAATTCAGGATAACATTGCCCCCCCCCTGCATTTTTTTCTGCGGACGCCCATGAGTACAGTGCCTCAGATGCCTGTCATTCAGTATTGTTATTCTTGAAGGTTATGCTGCTCAGTCTTTTTAAACGACAATACTAAACAAAAATAAGTGCTGACTCACCATGACTAGAGGTCTTGCGTAAGCTGCCAAAGATGCACCTCCGCTTATTGCCAATAAACTTTGAGCTGTAAAGATAATACAAAGATGTACAGAATTTTCTGCCTCTGTATTCAAGATGAAAGCTTAACAGCCCAAAAAGCATTATATTGTACAATTACCTATAATTCTATTATTTATCAGTAAAAACTTACACTAAAATTGCAGTTAAAAGCTACAACCTTTCTCTTAGAGGCTAGAGCTGCTGTAAGTCATCACATCATGTAACTCTGTAAAACATTGCATCATTCTCCTTATTGAAAACTGTATTCAAGTCTCAAGTCTTTTCTCATTCTTAATACTTTATATCTATATCCTTAATGTTTTCCTCCCAACAGTATAACAAGGCGTTTCATGCACAACTACTACCAACTACACTACAGCACTGATAACTGAGCTACACAAGCGTGGAAAACGGCCGTAAAATGTTGTTGTTTTGATGGTGATGCTGATGATGGAATTACTTCACTACAACACTCCCAACACTCCTTGCACATGCACTGTAGTAATCAAACTTGAAATTTTACAAACACTCGTGATCCCATTAATGTGATCCAGCCTAAACCTAACCTAGCCCCCCCCCCCCCACAGGTTTATTTTGTTTAATATCTGTAGAATATGAAAAATATCCCGTAATGTAATTGATAATTTTTAAGAATTTTACAAGTTATGGGTAATGAACATTAATGAAAGCAGTGTACAATAACATACACCATTCAAGATAACAGATTAAGAGCTACAGTATTCCAGCCTGTATGGAATCTTAGCTTATAATGTAGAAAATATTTTGTTAATTAATATCATACCGTTCAGTATATCATAATAAACAGCTATATATGTTTTTAACCTTCACTGTGGGGACGCTAGTAATTCGTTTGGCAGAGACCCCCGTACACAAGGGGTTAAAACTTTGATGCACCGTTTTCTTGACACAAAAAATCTGAGTAATCGTCGCTGTCATACAGATTGCCTAAAATCATCATCATCAAAGAGAAGTTAATACATTACTTTGTCTAGTGTTTATTGTTACCAACATATACGATACAGTACATCATCCTACCGTACAGTATGTTCAGTTCTACCAGGAGCCATAGCTTCCTTTTCCCACTGATATAAGTTTTCTACTTTTGTGTTTTAAGAGTTTAACACACAAGAATAGTGAGGATCTACTTTATTGTAATTCCATTCAGTATTAAAAGACTCCCAGCAGTCCAGCACAATCTTCACACACACTTCCAGGAAAAGGAATACATGTCTGCATAAAGAGCTGAGATGAGAATGGTGAGGTGGATGTGCAATGTAATACAGTGGAGTCTGCATTTACGTGGCTTTTGTTTACGCGTTTGGTCATTTACGCGGTGCCTTGCCAGAATGAAATGCTTTAATTACGCGGTAAATTTGGTCGTTCAAGCGGGTGAAGTATAATTTGTTTACTGTATTTACTGAAGATATTTGTTTTAGCTCATAAAATTCATACAAATTACCAGGCCAGAATATAATTTACATTGCTGGAATTATGATTATTTTAAATATAAACATCATAAAATTTGCATTAGACATACAAACAAATGTCAATTATATTATCCTAACTTTAGTCTGAGGTATTATTTATTACTAAAAATGTAAGCCTACCGTTTTCACCTAAAAATTTCTCAAAGAGGGAGGAGCCAGCGAGCGTGGGAAGAGAGGGGGGGGGGAGAGTTGAGTTCATTATTTGAATGGACATTAACCAGCGACTGTATTTCTCTTAAATATTAATTGTGTGTGCATACCATCATAAAATTAAGATGTTATTTTTACCGCAACGTAGGTATTGTGTCAGAAAAAGTGGAGTTTGGGAGTCGGCCCAGTCTCTATTTTAATTAATCCCATATGTTATGTTATTTCATTTACTCGTTTCTCGTTTTACGCGGGCCTCCACGGGTTCAATTGACGCGTAAATGCAGACTCCACTGTACTGAAAAAGAGGAAACCTTATTCTGGCATAAGACAAATGTACAACCCATCTGACCCTTGCTTTATGCACACTCACTATATGTGAATTCACAATTACAGTATGTGGGGACCTTACTTCTACCCATAATTCACTGACTGCAAAAAAAAATGCTGTTAGGTATTCTATGCAAGATATAGGAAGGGGAAAACTGGGGATGAGGTGGTATGTGAGATGGCATGTTGCTATTTTTCTTATTTTATAGTTTTATATTACATTTACTTTATTTCTAAGACACATTAAAGTAAAGTACAAGTGAACATCTGACTTATAGCTCGAAAAAGTAGAGTACAGTACAGTAGGTAAAGGTTGAATTCTACCCCTTGAGTTACTTACCGAGTCATTCACAGACCATAAGAATATTGTTGATAACTTACCACTCTGTGTTATGGAAGTTTAATAATTATTATTCCAAAAGACTCTACAGTACTGTATACTGGTAGTACAGTACTAATGCTGCTGTAAGTGACCACTTCTTAAAACAGATATTATGTTGATCTTCAATTAATGAACCACTAATGGACAGTACTGTACTGTACTGTGCAGTGTCTCTAAGAATGTATATGAGTTAAGAGGCAACTGATATAGGATGACCTTGAGGAAGGTGGCAGCTACAGTGTGCATATGGCCCATGGATGATAAGTCAAATGAGCAATTCATAAATGTGTCAAGTGTGATGTGTGGATGTTCTACAAAAACAATACAGTATAGACACACACAAAACAGCAAATAAGTGAAAATATATGTCCATTAACCCAATAAGTACACAGCAATTATAAAAACATGGACACACCTTGACTAGCAGCCAACTGTAACTATGTGTGGCACTGTGATCAGGAGACTGACTATGAGTGATATGGTCACTCTTTTAGAATATGCTGAATCACCAGCTTCATTAATTCACTATCTCTTTACCCAGGGTTACCATCAAGTACCAAGTACTTCATTAAAACCTTTTTTTTCCGTATTACCATTTAGCACAAGAATTATACACGATGTATACTGTAATGGTCTAATATGCCAAATAATACAACTAACTTCCTTAAGTTATTTTATGTATCAATGAATAAGAACTTATACAACATGTTCTTCAAAGATTAGAATGTTGTCTGCTCATTATTAATATTCTAACATCCAGCATCAACAAAGGAATTTGAAATCTCATGACAGTCTCAAACAGCCAGAGATTGTATTTTTATCTTCCAAAATACCACTTTTAGGGTTAACATGTTATGTAACAAGTTTACCCACCTATGATTCACTTCTTCAGTCTCTCCTGCAGATTATGAAGCAATCTGCTTACTCTGAGCTGACAGCATCTTGACTAAGCAAACTTGCTTAAAATATCTTCATTTGATATTGATAAAAGATTATGATTTGCATAAACACTTTTCTATACTGTAGTTACAAATTCCATGGGTGCCAAGGTAAGTTATGCTCAATTTGCACTTTAGTAAATAAGACTGAACTTACAACAAATAACCCTGTGATTAAACTGTGTAAATATAACTACATTAAGTTATATTCTCATGTCCAGTCAGATGAATCACTTCTTCTGAAGACGGAAAACAAAAAATTTTTATACGATAAGTGAAGTTTCTAAACACATATTTCCATGGATTTGTGTCAGTCTCCCAAGTTAAGAAAGTTTCTATCTTTTGTGGAAAAATTTCCTCCAGTTAGCGGTAAAGCCATACAACTGCCGTCGGGTATTACCAGACTTTGTTGTGAAGTAAACCATGGAAAAACACAAAACCTGTACATGACAACAACCATTCTTGAGGTAAGGAGCAGTTTTTCTTAAAAGAGAGAACCTTATGTATTTGATTAGGGTGCACTTGAGTTGTAAATCATTTTCAAAAGTTGTTCAAAATGTACGTGTACCCCGGGTGGGACGAGCAACCGCTTCTACTACACACGGAGGTGTAAAAGTGAACGGATCACCAGCGGTAATGTTGTCAGGAGGAACCTGTTCACCTCACCTCGGTGTGACTGACATCAGGGGAGGATCCAGGAATATCAAAAGAGGGGTTTTGGGGAGGCACTGTAAGCCCCCCCCGGATTTTTTTTAAATCTGACTAATATCATGGGCATTTTGAAGCCATATCAAGCCATGTGCACTTGATATTAGGAGATATTCTGAAGTCAACAGTAAATACTTTTTATTATGCAAAAATGCCTGAGTATAATACTGCATTAAATAGTGGAATTTTCTGATGAAAATGGGGGTCCGGACCCCCAAGACCCCCCCTTGGATCCACTCTTGTGATATACACATTAAACACAGGTGACTGCGAGGGTTTGATTAACAGATCTAATCATCTAAAGATCAAATTGTTCAGAATTGTTCATGTCACTATTGTACATTACTGTACGTACATCAGCGGTGACAATATCAATCAAAAATGGACGTTCAACTGCTCCCCCCTTGTGCCACTTTAGATGATATAAAGATAAATTAACTGAGTTTTGACAATAAAACTAAACACTAGAGTCGCGACCAGGAGACTTATGTACCACTGCGCTTCACTTCCAACTCAACATACTGTACATGTAGTTCATTACTGCTAAAATCAGCTAATGGTTCAGCGATTTTTCCACTGTCGATGGCAAAATGGCAGAAGCATAATGAGAAAACAGTAGATTATTAAGCAAATTTATTTCCAAGCAATTTTATGCACTGTCGTGTAGAACTGTAGTGTTCTACGTTTCTTGAAATTTTATAATAATGGTGGCACCGTTCTTGTGGAGTTTCACCCTAAATATTATAATACAGTATCATTTTACTTTAGGACATAACGCGCCCCAAAGTTATTAACTATTGAAGCATTTAGACCTCCTTATTCGGAACATTTTGAACCCCATTTATACCAGCCGGAAATGGATAATAGCGACACAATTTAATTTAATCGATTTTACGTACTTTTCAGCCTTCGTCTGTGAGGAGATGTTATCGGCACAATACTGACTGACGTCATCCAGTCGTGACCAATGATGTATCGATATCCCGCGATTTTTTTTTCGACCAATCACATTTGAATTTTTTCAAAGGAAGCTGCCTGGGTACGGATTTGAATTTCAAAGAACAATTTGACAATGGTCGTGGTGTTGGTTGGTTGTCAATCGTTCTCCTACGATTATTTTAATATTATTGCCGAGTTTTACAAGAACGATGATCAAGCTATCCAATTGCTACATAATCACGGTGTTCTCCCTGCATCTGTTGAATGCCCGCACTGTAAATTGCCTTGTAAATATAGAAAGGACAAGAACCAGTGATTCTGTAATCGCTGAGGAGGTCGATGACCCTGTACCTCTCCCTGGTCCTTCCACTTCTAAGGTATTGTACTTTTGGACATGGCACGCCCCAAAATTTTAAAGTACTGAAACATTTAGGTTAGGTTAGTTTAAGCTAGGCCCCATTTCCCAGGCTGTCCCCCATGGGAGAAGGGAGGGGGGGGGGTTCAAGAATATAAATTTCCGACAAAAATGAAGGTCAGATTCGCTTAAAACACACAGGAAAACATATTGATCAACCCTTAGGAAGTCATGTCCGAAAGTAAAAATTTACCTATAATACTACACATCAGCTCAGCCTATAAGACACCTTTTACCATGTTAATAAAGCATGTAATATACTAATGACGTCCCTATGTAGAGGGGCCATAATGAATGTTAAATATAATACAGAAATAAGATTAGTAAAAGCATATACAGCACTCCATACCACACTATGTAAATGGGTGTGTTTGTCTCGGTAGGAGTTAGTTGTTGCCGGTACCTGCGATACGGAACATTATCAATAAATAGCTGACTAAGACAAGCTGTGGTGACCTTCAGCTCGGGGCGGTAGCTGCTCTCTGGCTCACCCTCCACAAACACCGTAAAATCAGGATAGATATTATATTTATCCTCGTTAATACAACACTATTAATTATCTATTTAATAAATAACTAAAATATAATATAAATAATGCCACAATTAATGTATCTATATATGTGCTCGGTGTGAAATATATGAAAATATGAAGAAAATTCAGTCTTTAGTTACTCATAAAAACTCCAATGTAAAAGAATATTTCATGGGTATCACTTGTTTTAATATACACATAATCAGTATGTAGTTTAGAATTTTAAAAAACGTTCAACTTTTTCGATCAATATTGGGGAATCCTTCTATATCCTGGAATTTGCTTTAGGGGTGTTGCCAACCTCTTATTAATTCATTCTTGTACAACATTGTGCATTATGGGAGGCACGGATGGCACTGTACTGTACTCATGGTGCTGTACTGTACTCATGGTGCTGTACTGTCCTCATGGTGTTGTACTGTACTCATGGTGTTGTACTGTACTCATGGTGTTGTACTGTACTCATGGTGTTGTACTGTACTCATGGTGTTGTACTGTACTCATGGTGTTGTACTGTACATAGGTAACATTATCGGCTCAGTAGATCCTAGTTAGTATTTTTTTTTACGTGGCCCAGCCCCATTGGATTCCAGAATACAGTACATACTGTATATGCATTATTATGTGAAACGTAATAAATGGAATTTTTGGCATAAATATTGTTTACAATATACAATAGATATTATTAAATATACAATATACTTAATGAAATATACTGTGGGGTACGGGTTATTTGGTTCACACTCAGGATGGGATGGAGAAAGGAAACTCAATGTGCTCTCTGTAAACATATTGTACTGGATGCACATAGAAAATAAGGAGTCTGCAATAGGCCGGTTGGCCTGTGCATGGCAGCTCCTGTCGAGAGTTACTACCACTCTCTATCATCCATGAATCTATCCAGCCTCCTTTTAAAACTTTCCAGCGTTCCAGCACTTACTACAATGTTGCTAAGCTTGTTCCACTCGTCTACCACCCTATTTGTGAACCAGTTCCTTCCTATCTCTCTCCTAAACCTAAACTTATCCAACTTGAATCCGTTGCTCTGAGTCCTATCCTGCTCGGATATTATAAGAACTTTATCTATATCCCCTTTATTGATTCCTTTCACCCACTTGAATACTTCTATCATGTCTCCCCGCACTCTTCGTCTTTCTAGGGAATGCAAGTTAAGTTTCTTTAACCTATCCTGATATGGAAGGTTTCTAAGTCCCGGAATCATTTTTGTCATTCTTCGCTGCACCGAGAATTGATATCCATTCTATAATAAGGGCACCAGAACTGAACCGCATAATGTGCTCTCTGTAAACATATTGTACTGGATGCACATAGAAAATAAGGAGTCTGCAATAGGCCGGTTGGCCTGTGCATGGCAGCTCCTGTCGAGAGTTACTACCACTCTCTATCATCCATGAATCTATCCAGCCTCCTTTTAAAACTTTCCAGCGTTCCAGCACTTACTACAATGTTGCTAAGCTTGTTCCACTCGTCTACCACCCTATTTGTGAACCAGTTCCTTCCTATCTCTCTCCTAAACCTAAACTTATCCAACTTGAATCCGTTGCTCTGAGTCCTATCCTGCTCGGATATTATAAGAACTTTATCTATATCCCCTTTATTGATTCCTTTCACCCACTTGAAT